AGGGTAGAACGGTCCATAAGGAATATTACCTGCAAGTTATGCGCAATTTGCGCGAAACAATCCGCCAGAAACGCCCGGATTTGTGGAAGAACAAAAATTGGCTTTTGCACCACGATAACGCCCCTGCTCACACATCGTTGCTTGTGCGCGACTTTTTGGCCAAAAACAACACACTAATGTTGCTGCAGCTACCGTATTCCCCAGATCTGGCCGCTTGTGACTTTTTCTTGTTCCCTAAACTGAAAAGGCCCATGAAAGGACGGCGTTACGCTACGATTGACGAGATAAAGACGGCATCGAAGGAGGAGCTGAACAAGATAAAAAACAATGATTTTTTAAAATGCTTCGAAGATGGGAAAAACCGTTGGCACAAGTGTATAACATCTCATGGGGATTACTTTGAAGTGGACAAAATATATCTTCATGAATAAAAAAAAAAACTTTGAAAAAACGCGGAATTCGTGATATTTTTTGAACACTTCTCGTAGGTAAAGGCCCAAACAAATCGATTGACATCACAATCAACGACAACACAATCCAACAAGTCAATAAACTCAAAACTCTAGGCAGAATGCTAAACAGATCTATGGCCAAGAACCAAGAACCAAGTTTTTTTAACCATTAAACGAACATTAAATCAACTTTAACAAAATAACTGTCGTTCAAAATGAATTCATGTGCAGATGTCTTGGGCTCACTCTATCAACACCTGTCCACACGATCTATGCAATTGCCAACGAACTTTCGTCAACTGAACGTGACGTATGGTTAACTGCCAAGGCAATGAACGTATAACATAGAGAAGGTGCAAGTACGGATCAGAGTGGAAATTGTCAAAAAGCACGATTTCTTCGTTTCACATAATCATACCACACTCCACACATGATTCGCAAATCTTGCTGTTTATTAACAGGATTTAGCATAACAGTATGTTACTTTGTGAACAGAATGAAAATTGATAACATTGATAAAAATAACGAAAAATTTTGATTATGGCATATGTACATTTTTACGTCTCAACACTTGCTTCATCGTGACGGTCGCAAACTAAAACATGAAAGGAAGAATAAATTCTAGTGTAACTGAACAATAGATACTCGGCTGATATTTATATGCCACGCTGTTCACAACATTTAGATTCTTTTTGAGCTATCAAGTATAGAGACGGAGGGACAGACATTCCTAAATCTATTTATCTCATCATTTCATGAAGTTTTTAACGTAAGGTCTACACCTACCTCAATTATTTTCGAACTGTTAGGAGAACAAAACTAAAACTTTGCGCCAGAGTATAGCGGGGTATAAGAAGTCCCGTAACAACTCTGCGACATGAACGCTCTCTGCTAGCATCGTCTAAGCAAATCGGCAACGTCCTGCTAAATTTACTGCTCGCCTATTAGCTCATATTGCCCTGCAAGAATTTCATTGCCTTCCCGAATGCGTCTTCCTACAAGCTGAATTTTGACGAGGATTTCAAACAAAATTCTACAATTCTAAATATTTGAAGTTTTGTTCATGAAAGAAAAGAAGAAGAAGTTAAAAACAACAAAAATAAATACGCTTGCAAACCCCCTTCGATTCTTCATCAACAAACAGTTTTCTTTCTGAAGAAGAAGTCAAATTTTGCCAAAGCGCAAATACTTTAGTTGAGCCAAAATCACAAACCCATACGTTAAAAGCTCCCCATATGTATACAAAATACAAATACACACAAAGTCGTGTGTGATCCCTTTCCCTTCGTTTTCTCCACCAGTTGTTGTTAAGTTGTTTCGGTCAGAAATTTTGTCAAAAGTTAGAAATATATGTTGAACTTGAGGTTGAAGACACATACATTTAAAGCGACCAATGTGTGTGTATCTGAAAAACATATACATCCACAAAAACTTGTCCATTCTTTTCCCTTCTACCCGGCTCCAATAAACGACTTCTTTGCGACGATGACAAATTGCAAAATTCAGAAATTCAAGTTGAGCATTAGTACATATGAATTTGTATATAGATTTGCATGCGTGCATGCCTACTTACTACATATGTGCATATGTACGTACGCTCATACGGTAAAGTATGAATGAATTTTATCTGCTAATTTTTTTCCATATTTGCAGATAATAACTAGTTTTAATGTCGCACTGAAAAGTTTTGTAAGAAACGAGGGCGAATGTTGTAATTAGTAACGAGGACATCTCTTTGTTAGCATACAGTACTAAAATAAAGTCATCCTTAAGTTTTCGGTTCTGGCCCAGAAACAGAATGAGGGTTTTATATTTGCAGGTTGCTTATGGTTTTTGCTTGCTTTCGAAGACGATTGCTGAATGGAATTGTTAAAATATAAAGACGTTATAACATTTTTGGTATTTATTCTTTCTTCATTTTCCAATGCCATATTTACTTTTTAGCATATTCGAGTCGATAGAGAGTTGGCCACGGGCAGATCAGCTCGTTACTAAAGTTGTCTAATTAGGGAACAAAGTCTGTATTTAGAAGAAATATTAAACTATGTTGGTGGTGAAGTGACTACATGCTCTTGATATGTTATGTTAATCAGCTAGTAGAAGGAAAAAGTATTGTACAATTGTAACGCGATGATAACAAATCGAAGATAATGATTTTTAATGGTTTGTATGGTTTTTTCAATTGCGTTACATAAAATGTAATATAATTAACATCCATTGCATTTTTCGGAGACAGTTTTAAGTAAAATATAAAAACATTAATGCAGAAAATATTTCGGCTGTGCTTTGTTGTTGCTTGTTGCAGGCAAACTAAATCACCAATCCCAATGAAATTTGCAGGAGTTTTTGCTGTTGATCTAATGTATTTTTATTTCTTATAAATTAATGCTGCTCAATTATAAATAATTTTTTGTTAAAATAGGACTAGTTCTAAAACGTCAAAACAATGCAACCCTGTATTCAATAAATTTGCAAAGCAACAATACTTTGAAAACTGGCATTTTGGAGCGCTTTTCGCGTAATGGCTAAATGTCGGAAAATGGCTAAACTGAAGCAGGTCAAAGTAATAGAATCCTAAAAAAATTAGCGCAAAAAACTTACTCTCCGACATCGGGAGTTGTTAAGAATTTATGATAAAATAAAGCATCATAAACCTTAGCGAAGCAAAGTTTGCGTTTGTTTGCGCATCAATAACTTTATCGATGCATTTTGGAACATGATACATCGTCGAAGTTTGCACATTTGCATTTAGGAATGCGTTAAAATGTATCGTTGCCTTGCAACTGAAGTTTTGGAACTCACCCTAACTTTACCAATGCGTTTTGGAATGACACATCGTCAAACCACATCACAACAATGCAACACTGCATTCTTTAAACTTGCCTTGCAACATTACGTTATTAAAAAAAAACGTCAAAAACCTACCATCCGATATAGGCCATAGTTATTAAGAACTCATGACAAAATCAAGCATCACAAACCTTAGCGATGCGCAGTTTGCTTTTGTTTGCGCATCAAAAGTTTTACCGATGCAATTTGGAACATAATACATCGTCAAAGTTTGCATAGTTGCATTTAGGAATGCGTGACAATTTTAGCTTGCTTTGCAACTGACATTTTGGAACTCACCCATACTGTGCAAAGCAAAACCGGTATTGGTCTGGCCCAGGGTTACAATCAAAAGCGCTTCATAAGGTCTTCAACTTACAAAGGAGTTGCGCTTAAAAATACTCTCCATGGTGAAGTCAGTGTAAAAATTGTATTCCAGTTTTATTTTAAATTTTCTTTTTTATATGTGGCAACAAAATAATTCAACTTTGAATATCTCAAAAACTATAGGTCTGCGGTAGATTTAGTTTTCGGTGTTTGAGAGAGTGTGGAACCCCCGACCACTCCTATAACTAACTTTTTACCAAGCCTGGGCAAATAAAGGAAAATCATCGCCTACTTAATAATATGCCTTACAATTGTGGTTTCAATCTTTCCATTTTTATTACATTTATTTATATAACTTCTAATGCATTATTAATATTCGCGTTTAACATTTACTAGCATAACATTTTTACTGAAAGGTTAAGTAACTAGTAATCCATTATTTTTGCAATAAAAGACTTCAGTGATCTACATTTAACGATAAAACTGAAAAAGCACGTCAGGCAGATGGAAATGTGAATAGTGCTTATGGTCCTGATGCTGTAACAGTCAGTCATGGACAGTTTTGGCTTCATCGATTTCATTCCGGCAATTTTGATGCAAAAAATTTTCCATGGCCCAATTGTCGAAAGCTAAACATTGCACGAAAACTGTTTGGAACCACTGTAAAAAGGCAGCTCCGAATCGCTGCTGACTTTTATCAAAATTGACACATTTCTGAAATGGATGGTGACTGGGCATAAAAACTAATACGTCAAATCAAACCGGTCTTTATCGAAGGGTGGTGAGCTGGCATAAATGGTCTCCAAACAAGCAGTGATGATAAAGATTTTTGGTTTGTGTTTGGTGGGATTGTCAAGTAAACATCTACTGAGGGCTACCACCCTGCAATCAAACCCTTATTTCGTCCCTATGAATGATGCAGTCGCCCAGCTTTGGTAAACAGGAGGGGAAGTGGGTCTCTTCAGAATAACACCAGACCACGTGCATCGATAATGACTCTGCACGATTTCCGAAAGCTTGGTTGGTAGATTCTTATGCACCCATCTTATGGTCCGGACCTCGCACCAAGTTATTACCTTTTGTTCCTGTCTATGGTGAAGAAGAGGCCTCAAGAAAGGCCTGTGGTAATCAATTGTTCCAATTTCCAATAGGGACAAGTGTTTCTATAAGAGGAGAATAAGAACATTACCTTTAAAATGACAAAAAGCTATCGGCGAAAAGGTGCATATTTCTAGCTGTAATAAATAAAGCCTTCAATGTAATGAAAAAATAATGGCTAATCAGTTACTTGACCAATATTTTGAGTGCTAGCATAATTAAGTTGTAAAAAGATGAATATAAAGGCAGAGTGACTCAAGAGCTTATAGAAATTTTCTTTCTTAAATCTTACAGTTTGTAATAAATACATCATGAGAAAGAGATGAGCGGTGAACTGCATTTTTTCTGCTACAACTACGCAGTTACAATTACGATAAAGCAATAAGATATAAAATTATTTATATATATATATATATATATTAATACTTCCTAACTATAAATATTTATTCAAGGTTTTAAAATGTTTAGTTATGGCTCTTCTATTTATTATTGTATTGCTATTATTTAAAAAGTTTGTTGCAGAAATTTTTTTTGTATCATTTATATATTATTGCATCAGATTAAAATTTTCGCTATATAGTTGAAGAAATATTTCACCAGTGTCAAAAAGAAAAAAATAAATAATGCCGCTGCGAATATCTCTATAAAGTAGCTCTGATCAACTGACAATTATATAATTCATTTAAGATAAGTCCGAACATTTGATCGAGTTGTTTTTTTTTTGTTAAGGAAATTTAAGTACTTAGATAATTTAAACGTTGGATTAAAAACATACAAAAACTTCCATTTTTTTGTAAAAAATTTAACCACAATATATTCCACGTCTAAAGCCGACGTTATTTAAATTATTGCGGGAAAAGGTCATCCATTAAAAAAAGAATGTCATCATTGTGTTGGGAAAATATTCTGAGATGATTATACCGACTTACTATAAGATTATTTTTTTAGTCTAAAAATAAGCATATTTTTCCGGTTGATTCAGGCTAAGAAGAAAAAAAATAAGGATTATGAACGTTTGTCATCATTGTGGCTGAATATTTATTTAGCGTCGTGGAACGTTTCTAGTATACACTTATATACATTTTTTTATTAAATTAAATATACAACTTTTTTAACTAACTGGAATGTAAATATACATATCTATATACAATCTTAATACTGTCTTAAATTATTTAGTCCTCTTTTGTGTGCATATGGTATGACTACGGTTTTTGTTAACAGCTGCAGTAAAATTTAAACGTCTAATTCATTGTTTGTATAAATAATAAATCATGTCTTACGTATTTTGTTAGTATAGTAATATTATAAGATATAATATAAATATGTAAAAATATGAAGGCAAATAAATAAATTAATTTGCGTTTTAATATCAAGTTTATCGTTGCATTGGCGAAAACAGTAATCACTTAAGAAAAAAATTGGTTCATAAAGGAAATTGCAAACTGTTCTTAAAATGTGAACGTTTCAGAGTTCCAACTGCTCTTTTCCTCTTTAGAATCGCAAAATTTAAAGAAGATTTCTTACGCTATTCCACAAAATGGCGCCCGTGGTAGCCGAAAGGTTAGTCTTGCGTACTGCCATTCAGAATGCCAGCGTTCAAATTAATTTAATTGAAAAAATTTCTGAATAAATCAGCCGTTCGGAGTCGGCTTAGTATAAACTGTAGGTCTCTCCATTTGTTTGGAAAACAGCAAGACACAAAACCGCAAATCGCTTCAGCGGTTACAAAGTTCCAATCATGTCTAATATATAAAATTTTCGTATCATAGCGTTTAGACACAATGCTTCTCCGAAACGACTTGACCGATCTTAATGAAATGTCATGTGCATATTCAATAGGTCTGAGAATGACATAACATCTATTTTACACGCCGAGAAGAAGACCTGGGACCGATCTATTCAAAAAATGTGAATTTATAGTTCGATTTACTTGAAATTTGATTTAGCAGGAACATTACTTTTGTTTCCAGGAGCAGCACCTAAGCCCGATCTATTCGAAAAAATTCTTTGTATGGTTTGGACTAATATATAAAAATTAAAATAACAGTTTGCGCTAATTATTTTTTATAAACATTTTTTTTTTACTTTTTTTTTTTGATCTGTTTTATTTTTAACCCATTTCACCGAAAAAAACTCATTTGCACGAAAGCATTGTAAATTAATAAAATGCAGGGTTGCATTGTAATGATGCGGTTGCGCAACGGCATTATAACAAAGTAGTTTGACGTTTTTGGACTCGCCCATATGTTCATTATTCGTTTTTGTTTTATTATTTAGAATTTTTGCTTTGGCATATAAATAATCGATAATGAACAAATTACGCCAAAAGTGGGTAATTTATCTTCAATTACCATCTACATTACGAATAAATTGTTTCTAAATGACAGACAAAAAAGATAAAAGCCAGAAAAACAATAAACGATACTTTTATTTGAATTATCATTGTAGTACTGGTATTGACTCTCGCGGTATTTCAACTCTCCTGCTAACCAAAGCTTCTTTCTTCTTTCTTTATTGGCGTTGGCACCGTTTATGTGATTATAGCCCAATCAATATAAGCGCGCCATTACTCTCTTCTTTTCGCTGTTGGAGCCAGTTTGCAATACCAGGTCACGCCAGGTCACTCTCCAATTGGTCCTTCCAACGGAATGGAAGTTTATCGTTCCATTGTCTACGATTTTCGCCGTTTCCAATGCGGAAAGGACCATAACTCGCTCGCAAAACTTTTCTATCGAAGACTCCTAGAGCCGACTTATCATATGTTGACATCATCCACGCTTCTGCGCCACATAGTAGGACCGGTATGATGAGCGACATGAGCGACTTGTAGAGTTTGGATTTTCTTCGCCGAAAGCACTTTACTTTTCCTTTGCCTACTTAGTCCAAAGTAGCACCTGTTAGCAAGAGTGATTCTGCGCTGGATTTTAAGGCTGACATTATTGATGCTGGTTCCTAGATAGACGAAATTATCTACGACTTCAAAATTATAACTGTCAACAGTGACGTGGGAGCCACGTCGCGAACGCGATGATTGTTTGTTTGATGATAGGAGCTATTTCGTGCTGTCGAAGGCGGCTTTAAAATCGACGAAAGGGTAGTGTGTGTCGATCCTCTTTTCACTCGTCTTTTCCAAGATTTGACGCATGGTAAATATCTGGTCAACGGTTGACTTGCTAGGTCTAAAGCCAAACGAACCAGGTCCAATCAGTTTTTTTGACAGTGGGCTTTAGTTCTTCCAACAAAACGCTGAATAGGACCTTATATGCGATATTAAGAAGGTTTATCCACGGTAATTGGCGCAGACTGTGTGATCGTCTTTTTTGTAAATTGTGCAGAGCACATTTAGGTTCCAATCGTCGGGCAATGTTTAAGTTCACAAATAGTTTTTTATTGTATTGGCAGTGTGGCCTACTACTTAAAATTTAAAATTAATCCTAGAAACTTAAAAATAGCAGAAGCTAAGTTTACATTGTTACAGTTAAGAGTAGGTGTGTTTTTACAAATACAGTGGCTTACAGCCAAAGTTATGCAGTTATCTTAAAAATAGTATAATAAGTTTTATATAAAATTTAAATAAATTTCCCAAAAAACATGAATGACAGTTAATAGCTGCAGATATACGAATTACTTTGATTCTTTGAAAATTTTACATATAATTTTACAGCAAAAACAAACTTCAGTTTTAAATTGTACCTTACAGCGAAAATGATGCACAAAAGATTTATCGTTGGTGGTGGCGTCTTGTCGACGATTTTTGAATGCAAAATAGATACCGCTATAATCGCGAGCGAATATGAGACAATTTTGACATTCTAGTATAGACATTGGTTGAGTGTAGATCAAAATGGGTCGCTAAACAAGTATTGAAGTGCGCGAATTAATTTTAAAACATTATAAAGTCAACGTAAAATCGCAGAAATGGTGAAATTGAGCCAAAGTCGTGTGTCAAATAAAACTGAAACGTCTCATAATATTGTAAATTATATAACGAAAGTGATTCCCGATGTATTGTACGGAAAATACGCTAAAGCCTCCACTTAAGTGCTCCAGCCTTAGGTAAAGACGTGTTTAAATGTTTTGGAAAAAGCTGTAATCCACAAACCTTACTAAGAATTCTCAGATCCAAATGCAAAACTGAAGTTCGCAATGGACCATTAATATAAAAATGAACGTTTCTGGGACACCGTAAGAGCTATGTAAGGGGAAAACCAAATGCTGTGTTACAACCCCAAAAATTACGTAGCACTGTAAACATGGTGGAGGACTTGTAATGGTATGGGAATGCATGTCGTCTTCTGGAGTTGAAAGTTTGGACTATGATGGTACTATGGATAATACTGTGTATTGGGACATTTCAAAAAGAAATCTCTTTCAAAGTGCCTCAAAATAAAATATTCGTGATAAGTTTTGGTACTTTCAAGAGAATGATCCGAAACACAAATCAGGCGTTGTGCAAAGTCGGCTTATTTGGGACTGTCCGCACATATCACAAACCCCAGCGCAGTCGGCAAATTTGCATGTGAGAGAATCTGGTCGGTTTTGGAACGAGAGATTCGAAATCAAGCAGACTTAAAAAAAAAAACTCACAAACAGAATGGAACAGAATTGACTGCACGAAGAAGTTAGTAGAATCCACGCATGAAAGCAGTCATGGACAGCAAGGGGTATCCTAGTAAAAAAAGAAATGTATTAATTTTTGCTGTGAGATACAATTTAAAAGTGAAGTTTAGTTTTTTTTTATCTATATGTGTCCTACAAAAGTGTGCCCCACTCTTGCAATCTTCTGTAAGCATTCGTATCTCAGCTTCTTTTTTTCTGCACATGCGTTTTGCTTTGCTCTTCAGTTCTCGGTATCTATCCCACCGCTGTTTTTGCGACCTTACCGAAATCGAATAGTTTCGTTTGCAGCTGTGTATTTATGTCGTAGGAAGCTTGAAATGCCGCCTTATAGTTCTCTTACACCGAGTTGCGGATGAGTGCTCTCAGAGAGCAGCAGTGCAAGTCGAGTAGAAAACAGCTCGATAGTCTGTTTTGATTGCAGTTTTTCCACGACGAGCTTTCCTTGTGTTTGTTGACGGGCGTTCTTTGATGCATAGAGGCGGGTGCGTATAGTCGCTGACACAAGGTAGTGGTCCGGTTCAATGTTGAGTTGTCGGAATGTATGCACGTTAAGAACATTCGAGACATGTCTTCCATCTATCACAACATGATCATTGATCTGGTTTTATGTTTTTCGATCACGGAACATCCTAAAAGCTTGATGTATTTTCTTGTACTGGAATCTAGTACTACAGACATAAGGGGATGTTTCGTCGTGGGAGCCGTTGTACCAAATATATCTTCTTTACCTACCCTGGCATTAAAATCGCTAAGCACGGTTCTCACATCGTGATGGGGGCAGTGCTCATGAGAATGCTCCAGGCGGCCATATTTCGTCGTCCCTTTATTTCGTCGGGGCGTCGGTGCAAATCATCGATATATTGAAAAATTTTGCTTTGGTGCAGATTGTGGGGAGACGTTCATCCACCCGGATGAATGCCAGTACTCGGCGACGAAGTTTGCTCCCACACCAACTTTGCTTCCGTCATTGTCTCGTCCATCGCACTTTTTGGACGGCGGCGATGTCAGCGGTATTTCATCCGAGGCGTTTTAGATTTTTCCATAGGTTCAAATGGCGTTGATTTCTACGTGGCGAGTCCCAAACTCAGTGCACAACTTAAGCGTAAGTAGTAGGAGAAAGCTTACATTTTTTACGCATTTGTATAGCGATCCGCTTTCTCAAGACCTCTGGTGAACACACGCTGCAATTAGACTTCAGCAGACCCTTAAGCCGAATAAGTCGGAGTGGCTCCTCTGAAGCTTCCTCTCTCTACATTCATATATGTTGAAATTGTTATTTTCTATTACTAATGCTGCAACCCTCTCATTAGGCTGGTAACTAAAATGGGTAGTTACCAGCCTAATGAGAGAGTTGCAGCATTAGTAATAGAAAATAACAATTTCAACATATATGAATGTAGAGAATGAGCCGAAAACTCAGAACGAACTGGCGGTAATATAAATTATTTGTTATTGCAATTAAACGGTTTATAACGTAACCTCCGATCTCGCAAAACGAATTTTTTTTATAGCAAGGTTGATCACCAATAAGTTCTCCACCACTAATTTTATTAAAACTACCATTTCCAATAACTTCGAAATCCCTCCTTAAGATTTGAGAATTAAGAATTTGGTTTAAGATAAGTTTCGAGAAAATTAAGATTTTATAATCTTAGTTTAGCTGTGTAAGTATAAGTTTTTAACTTTAGTCTTCAATCCTCATACGTTTTGGTAGCAGATAATTATGTTAAG